CGTAATCTCATGATTGAACATGCTTCTTGTTAAATCTCAAGTGGTTCCATATAGTTTGTGTAGGCGTCCAGGAGAAGGAGTAAAGCCAAGTTTATATTATATTATAGATGTACCGTTATTAGGTGGGAGATGCTAAACTTTAAACACACACAATTAGCTAGCACTTCCCCACAAGTACAGTGAGAGGGATGAGCAACTATAGGATCGCATGCATGAGCTCGTTCAGCAGCAATCCTTAGAGAGTGATGCTTGAATGACCTTTGATAAGATATTGATAGCTGTTCTTGGTGAGAGGTCAGGATATGTTAGAGGAAAAAGTTATGGAGCAGAGCCTCGAAGGAAGAGATCTCACACTCAATCTAGTGATTCACTTAAGAATGTGTGCACCCAATTGTATGAAAAGTTTGAAAGAAGATTTCAAGAGGAGCGAGAAAAGATGAAAGCAAATCTTGCTACAAAGCGAGAGAAGATGGAAGCAGAATGTGTAGCAGAATGAGAAAAAATGGAAGCAGAACATGCAGCAGAGCGAGCAAAGATTGAAGTAGAGCGCAGACAACTTGAACAAAGGATGGAGCAATTAATGGAGCAGAGAATACAAGCTCAATTCACTGCTTTCATGCAAAAGATGCAATTAAATACTCCTGCGGATACCCCTACTTCTAGTGTCCCTTGTCTTGGTCCCTCTATGTGATTTTTCTTTTACATTATATAATGTATCTTTTAATTGAACAATTTTTATTTTTATTGAAGACACAAAAACACTTTGATGGTTATAAATCCTATTATTTAATATATTTGTCATTTAATTATTTTATTTTTATTAAACCTTATGATCACGTTTATCAAGAATATAAATAAAAAAATTTGTATAATTAACATATTAAAATAGTTAAACCTTCAGTGGCAACATAAACATCACCGCCAAAAAGGGTAATTAGCGCCAACAATTATGTTGCTGTTGAAAATATAATCAGTAGCAACAAAAATGTCGCCACTGAAACCACAATTAGCAATGACATTTTTGTCACTGTTGATTGAGGTTTCGACAGCGACAATGGCTGTCGCCACTAAAACAAGCTTCAACGGCAACATTTGTCGTTGCCGAAAGTCAAATTTTTTGTAGTGTAAATGTAAATTACATTAAACTAACATTTATCCTAACTTAAGTTTGTAAAAGTGAGATGAAAACAAAATTACTTTTATCACTGCCAATCCAAATACATTCTAGGATAACTTGAAACCTAGTATGCTTTTATAAACATGCCTGTAACTTGCTTTCACAACAAACGATAAAATCGTAACATCTTCACTTCTGGTTATTTTACTGGCTAGGAAGTTAAAAGCATTATAGTTGTGGCCGTAGGACTCAAATAATATGGGATTTGGCAATAATATGGAATTGAAATCATGATTGACTCAGTTTGCTTTAATAGTGTGAATTTCACTTTTGGTGCCGCAAGTTTTTTTTTTTTTCCTGGTTGTTCCCCGGATATTTGCTGTCCATTCAAATGATTTCCTCCCATTATTGTTCTAGAGTTCTGTGTTGTGTAAACTTGTTTTGTAGCTGCAAGTTAGTTCTGCTTGCTGCTTGTTAGAAAGCCAAGTTACCTCCTTCTGGCTGAGGGATGAAGTGGAGCAACTAATAATAATTGATGGCTTCTAGACACGGAGGGACATTTTTTACAAAAATAATACTCTTTCGGTCCTTAATATAAGACCCATTTAACTAATTTGATTAGATTAAGAAAGTTAGGTAAGTTGGTTAATTATAAGAAATGTGACACGTTTTTCCTAAAACATCATAATCATCTTTCTTAATATCCCTTCTCCCTCTTCTACTTGATTATGGTTGAGAGAGTATTCATAGGGGTAATTTAGAGAAAATTAATAAATATGAGAAATGGGTTTTATATTTAGGACCAAAACCAACTCAACAATTGGGTCCTATATTAAAGACCGGAGGAGTAATTGTAATCCTAGATATACATTGTTAACGATGTTTTTGACACGTGGGCATGATCCAATTTGATTAACTAACATATAGGACAAAATTGTTGAAGGGATTAAACTTCAAGGACTGAGCTTTGATGAGTTGAATTAGGTTGACTGAGTCAACCAAGTTAAATGTTAAAAACTTAATAATTAATTTTTCCTAAAATATTTTTCATAACATGGCGTATGTCAGAAAACACATTACTTTGAATATACCATAACCAGATGTACTTTTACAGATATGTGTAAATTGATGTCTGGCATTTAAGAGTAAAAAGAAGGGAAAATTTCACTGTAGGACCGCAGAAGACAATTAATATCAAAGAGCCCCCAAAACTTTCTGAAACCTCACTGCAGGACCAAGGGACTAATCTGATATTAATTTTTAGAGTGAGATTACAATAATACCCCTCCCTTTTATTTTATTAAAAAATAAATATTTACCGGAGTTACTGTTCCGGCCACTGGAGGTCGAAGGTCCGGCCACCGGCGCTCAGGTGGCCGCCGCCGGGGTCCGGTCACCAGTGGCCGGAACAGTAACTCCGGCGGGACCTCCGGTGGCCGGAGTTTTTTTGTTTAAAACAAAGTGGCCAAGAGAGGGTTTGAATCCAGGACCCCTTGGCACACCAAAAGACTTGTAACCACCAAGCCAAGCAACCCATTCAATCATAACATGCAAACAAAACTATATATAACAAAATAAACGCAACAGTCCAAATGTATGTGAACAAGTGAAATTAGACGATTTACAAGTACAATTCAGAAATTTGCAACAAAAATTAGGCAATTTACAAATAACATAATAGAAGTCATAACCCAAAATGCAAGTATTTAAGTGCAAATGAGCAAGTAAAATTTGAAGATTTACAATAAAAGTTTATGGATTTATAACCCAAATTTGACAAACACAAGAGAATTCACAACCCAAAATGTAATTGTTTGAGTGTAAGTGAACAAGTGAAATTAGACGATTTACAAGTGGAATTCAGCAATTTACAACAAAAATTAGGCAATTTACAAATAACATAATGGAACTCACAATCCCAAATACAAGTGTTTAAGTGTAAATGAGCAAATAAAATTTGAAGATTTATAACAAAAGTTTATAGATTTGCAAGTGAAATTCGACAATTTCACTTGCTCATTTGCACTTAAACACTTGCATTTGGGGTTATGACTTCTATTATGTTATTTGTAAATTGCCTAATTTTTGTTGTAAATTGCTGAATTCTACTTGTAAATCGTCTAATTTCACTTGTTCACTTACACTCAAACACTTACATTTTGGGTTGTGAATTCTCTTGTGTTTACCAAATTTGGGTTGTAAATCCATAAAATTTTATTGTAAATCTTCAAATTTCACTTGCTCATTTGCACTTAAACACTTGCATTTGGGGTTATGACTTCTATTATGTTATTTGTAAATTGCCTAATTTTTGTTGTAAATTGCTGAATTCTACTTGTAAATCGTCTAATTTCACTTGTTCACTTACACTCAAACACTTACATTTTGGGTTGTGAATTCTCTTGTGTTTACCAAATTTGGGTTGTAAATCCATAAAATTTTATTGTAAATCTTCAAATTTCACTTGCTCATTTGCACTTAAACACTTGCATTTTGGGTTATGACTTCTATTATGTTATTTGTAAATTGTCTAATTTTTGTTGTAAATTGCTGAATTACACTTGTAAATCGTCTAATTTCACTTGTTCACTTACACTCAAACACTTACATTTTGGGTTGTGAATTCTCTTGTGTTTGCCAAATTTGGGTTGTAAATCCATAAAATTTTATTGTAAATCTTCAAATTTTACTTGCTCATTTGCACTTAAATACTTGCATTTTGGGTTATGACTTCTATTATGTTATTTGTAAATTGCCTAATTTTTGTTGCAAATTTCTGAATTCCACTTGTAAATCGTCTAATTTCACTTGTTCACATACATTTGGACTGTTGCGTTTATTTTGTTATATATAGTTTTATTTGCATATTATGATTGAATGGGTTGCTTGGCTTGGTGGTTACAAGTCTTTTGGTGTGCCAAGGGGTCTTGGTTCAAACCCTCCCTTGGCCACTTTGTTTTAAACAAAAAAAACTCCGGCCACCAGAGGTCCCGCCGGAGTTACTGTTCCGGCCACGGGTGACTGGACCCTGGCGGCGGCCACCTGAGCGCCGGTGGCCGGACCTCCAACCTCCGGTGGCCGGAACAGTAACTCCGGTAAATATTTATTTTTTAATAAAATAAAAAGGGAGGGGTATTATTGTAATCTCACTCTAAAAATTAATATCAGATTGGTCTCTTGGTCCTGCAATGAGGTTTCAGAAAGTTTTGGGGGCTCTTTGAGATTATTTGTCTTCTGCGGTCCTACAGTGAAATTCTCCCTAAAAAGAATTTGTTTTGACTCTTACATTTAAAATCCTTAAAGTACTTATTATATCAATTCATATAAATTGAAAGGAATAATATCCATTCTAAGGTGATTTGGTAGAATGTCTTGGAGAAGAAATATGTACACAGGTCCATATCCACAAATGCATGCGCACATAACAATATTACTCATCCGGGGCTTAATATGAAACCTAATCAACTAATTTAAGTAGATTAATGTTATTAGTTAAATTAGTTAATATGATATGTGTTTTCTAAAACATCCTCAGTATCTTACTTAATTCTCTCATTCCCTTTCCTACTTAATTACTGTTAAAAATATTAATAGGGTTAATTTTAAAAAAAATTAATAAACTTGTGAAATAAGTCTTTCATATAAAACTAATACGATCTCCTCAATTAGGTCCTACATGAAGGATCGGTGGAGTATTACATGAAACAATTACCACTGTACACTACTCAATACATACAGGTGTATTTCATATTTTCTCATGTAATTTAAACATTTCAACAAGTCATTATAAACTATAAATAACACAACTCAATTCTCATTACATTATGTTTATCACACGTGAAAAAGCAAATACAAGTTGTTATATAATTTTACATCACCATATTCACTCCAGCATGACCTTTGAATTATGCGCACCTCCTTTTATCAATTTGAATGGCCTCATCATCTCATTGTCTTCATGGTTTATTATCTGCAAATTAAACCATTGTCATGATCACGTACAATGCAAAAAAAAAAAAAAAAAAGAGCCAATATCTATAAATATTTAGTATTTTAATTAGGGAATATTAATTAATCATTTATTCTCTATACTTTTTGACTGGATTGTAGTTCATTCCATAAGCTTTAAAGTGCAGCTCGGTTTTTATAGTTTTATTAATTAAGTTGTAACTTGATCTCTAGACTTTAACCCAGTGCAACTTAGTCTTAATTTTAATGATTTAAAATTTTAATTTCTATACTTCATGAAATGTATAATTTTATTTTTAATATGTAGGGACTATTTTTCAAAATAGTTAAATTATAAGGATTGAGTGATATCAGCTAAAAGTTTAGGCACCGACTTATAGTTGAGTTAAAGCCATAAAGACTAAGTTGCATAGAATTAAAATTTAATAATAGAGTTGTAACAGAGTGAAAATTATAGGGATCAAAAATTAAATTTTCCTTTGAATTAAAACCAAATAAATTAAACCAACAAAAAGCCCAAAAAAAAGAAGGATAGGAAAAATACTCACATGACAATGATACACGTAACCAGGTTCTGCAGTTGCATCAAACTCATACGGTGCATTTGTGTGGATGTAACCAAATTTCACTACAATCTTCGTTACACACAAGGGTGTCATCTTGTACACGACCTTCCACCCTCTCTCATGAGAGGGCACCTCCAATTTCTTGCCACGTGCATGCTCCTCCACATGGCACTCAGTCACATAATCATGCTTCCTCACACATTCATTAAGCTCCTTAGGATTCACCAGCTCCGTCTGATCCAAAACTTTGAACAATCCCAAATGAATATGAAACGGATGATTGGCCTGCGTCAGATTGATCACATACCAAACCTCAGTGGATCCCTCCTGTGGAGTTTCTGTAACTGGCGACGCAAAAGGTTTTGCATTCAAGTATAAATGAGTTGGATTTCCTTTCGTTGTCCCACCATAGCCTAACATTGTGATGTACCTCGTCTGCGATACACTGGATAAATCTGCATCAGGGTATTTTAGTAACTTCATAGGGACTCGTGACGTGTCAGCTTCTGGATCAGGTTGTATGAAGAATTTCATCACCTTGCTGTTAGCTTCATCCACTGGTTCTCCAAATGGGAAGTGAGATGGTGCATTGTTGGCTAAAATAACAGTGTCATCTTTTGACTTAGAAAAGTCAACGATTATATCTGTGATCTCAGATGGTCCCACTAAAACTTCCTTCGTGGTCACTGGTTCTTCTATGTAAGCAGAATCTGATGCCACGTGGATGAACCGCAAGAAATTGGTGAAGAACAGTCTAAAGAAACGACCATTGCTGGCGTTGATGATCCGAAATCGATACCTACGACGTCGTACTGTCATACGTGGCCATACTTTTCCATTCACAGTGATGAAATTACCGAAGTAAAATGGCCGCCAATGAGGGTGTACGGTGGGGTGGTTTCCAGTGGAATTCAAATATATGGAACCATTAGTGTGAAAGTTCAAGTCAAAGATCATCAGCGGTCGATCAAAGGCATCACCATGGGGTAAGCCAAGAGGGTCCTCGATCGGAGGGTGGCGGATGATGTAGGTCCCATATAAGCCAGCAAGGACGTTGACCGCGGTCAACCCAAGGGCATGATCATGGTACCACATGTTACCAGGTTGTTGATTGTTGGGGTAATGATAGGTCTTCTGGGTCCAAGTGGGTCCCGTTTCAATGAATCCATTGGTGAACCAGGAATTAGGGTTGCCGTCGCTTTGGGGCTCGATGATGCCGCCGTGGAGGTGAACCACCGTGGGAATACCCTTTTTGGAGCGGGGGATGGCGATGGGAATTGTCGGGTCCAATGGGAAGATGTGATTTGAAGGGAGGTGATTTTGCCACGTCACGTAGGTGTCAACTCCATGGAGGGCCTCGATAGTGGGACCAGGAACTGATGCAGTCTGTTGGTCTAGACCATAAGCATAAACTGGCGTTGGCGGTAGATCCCTGTGAAATTTCTGTACTACCAAAAACATGGGTTTGAGGAAAAATTTTGAATCGTGCGAGAAACTACATAACAGTAGCAAGAAATGTATGAATTACACAATGTCATTCTACTCTATCAACAACTATATCTTTCAGTATATTATTAATTAAAAGATTATATAAGTTCATAGCTTTATTAAGTTTTAAAAAAATATGGATAACTGAAAAGGTTAATTATCTTTAGTTCTTGAGATTTGACCTTGTTTTGATTTTAAATCTTAAAATTTGAAACTAATGGTTTTTATCCCTCAAGCCTTGTTTTAGGTGTAAAAACATTATCTCAAGGACTAAAAATCTTTACGCGGATCAAAATGAAATCAAATTTCAGGAATTAAAATCACTTGTGTCAAATTTCAAGGACCAAAACTAAAATGAAATCGAATTTCAAAGACTAAAAATAGTATTAACACTTAAAAACTAATCAACAAGATGCTATATATATAAATGCATAGCATTGTAGTTAAAAAAACGAAGAAATTATAGGGACGAAAAAAAGATATATACCCAATTCTTTTGGAACATGCCAATGTGGAGATATCTGGGTATGGGGAATCCATGAAGGAGCTCATAGGCAAGAATTCTGGGCACATCAGGAACCTCATCCACAAACATCTCCAACTCCGATGGCTCTAACAATTTGTCATCTCTTAAAGAAACAGCCAAGACCACAGCTTGTGATAAAACACTTACGTATGTGAATTTCATCAGAAGCATTAATATTAACAATCTATCCATGCCTCTTAATCTTCTAAGCTGCTCAAATTTGCTATCACAAAAGTCACGTGTGTGTGTGTGCGCGTAGTTCCTTCGTGAGATAAAGAGTTACAAGTTTGTGAGTGTGTGTAGAGAGGAGAGATGAAAATGACTTCTTTTTTTTTTTTTTTGTTTTGGGGATATGACCTTGGTCTTTATATTAAGGTAGTGATGTTTGATTTGCATGTAATGGTTATAGGTGAAATTTTTCAAATTGAACGACCAAATTAAAAATGTAAGAAAAGCCAAGTACATATATATATATATATATATATATCCAACACGCTGCCGCTTCATTGAGACTATAAGCCAATTAGTTTACTAATAGTAATATATAAAAAGGAAAGCTCAACTAATTAAGTTGACACATTAATTCAAGACACATTTAGTTAACCTTTTGCTCTTGCTAAAGGGATAGGTGAGATTTATATGAGGCAATCACGTGAAATTTTAAGTTGTCATTGGCTACTTGATTGAAAAACAGACACAGAGAAAGACACACTATTAGTATATTTTAATTTCATGTGGGGAAGGAATAAAGACTGGAGAAAGATGAATTTTTTCTTTAAAAAAACTTGTTTTATGTTTTATTAAAATTAATTCTTCTTGATCATTAATAATAATTAAACTAATGAGATAAGGATATTAATAACTTTCTTATATTTCAGAATTAACAAATGAATTTGTGTATGCGTGCACCTCCATTTATAACTATTGACCAAACTAATATTGAAGGAAATTTTGAATTTGAATGATCAGATAATGAACTTTTGTTGTGAAATACAAGAGATTAAGATGAGACAGATGGAGAAGGTACAAGAAAATTGGAAGAGAAATAGGGAGTAATCTTTTATTCATTTCAAGCTTACAATCACCTGGTTCATGCCCACTATTTGTAGGTCACAAGTCCTTAAATTCTTTTTCAGGAGTTACAGCAAGGAATAAACCTACATAACTGCAGGATATATAACATTTAGAGGTTATAAGTATTAATCATAAAAAAACTCCCAAGAAGCCATTCATGTTGTGGGTTATATGACTTTAAATGTGATATCCCAAACCGCACTTAATATTACAATATTTATAACAAATTTAATTTTGTTATATAGAATAATTACATTTTATAATAGTTAATTCTTTGAATAATTAGATTATTTGCTAATTATATAATTATAGAATAAATTGATAAAAATATAATTTAATTTTACAATCTGTTTGACTAGTTAGAGAGAAAATTAGAGAAAACTGAATTCTTCTCTGAAATATAATAGACAAAAAATTTTAATGATAAATTTTTAATATTTTGAAATAGTGTTTCTTTTAATGTTAAAATTTACTTCATTTGTAAGTAATTTTATATTAAAAATAATATTTTACAAAAAATTTATAATACCAATGGTAATATAAATAAGGGTTAAAGTATACTTTTGGTCCTTTAACTTTATATAAGGTTTTATTTTGGTCTCTTAACTTTAAAAAGTAAATTTCTAGTTTTCTAACCCTAGAACCATTAATAAAAAATGATGATATTGAACTTTTGAATGTTGATAAAATATTACTAAATATTGTAATGTTAAGTTTAATTTTTAAAACAACTATGATTGTTACAAAAAATCATCATTCAAAACTAATAATTTAAGAATTAAAGGACTAAAAATATACCTTTTAGAGTTAAAAGACCAAACTGAAATCTTACATGAAATTAAAGGACCAAATGTATACTTTAGCCTATAAATAAGTAAAAGTATTGTATCATGTTTAAAACTAAAATTACAATATAATATATATATATGAAATTTTCAGTAAAATATTATATATAAATAAAAAAACACAAATATTATAAATAAAACTAAATAATAAAATATATATTAGAAATATTATTGTACAGAGTACCTTTTTTAAACAAAGATTATATGCGTATATTAAATTTTGCATTTTACGACTATAGGTTCATCTCAGTCCAACAAGCAAAGGCTTTAAGCATGCATGTTGAGATTGTGCGTTTGAAGTAGAACTTTGTCACACATGGAGTTCGGAGGCTGTCCCTGAGAACAAGGTGATGGCGGAGCAGTCATGTGGCGGCTGGCGGAAGGGTTCCCATGCGGCATTTAAAATTATTAAAAAATAAATTACTGATTGAATTCCTTTTTGTTGCAAAAATTAAAAAAAAATGTTTAAAAACTGAACTATAGTTTCATTGAGCTTGTCTTGAAACATATAGAGAGATTTCTTTGAAAATTTTCATTTAAGGACTATTGTAGCAATTTGACTTCAAATCGCTCTAATTTTTTTTTTTTGTTGAAATTTTAGTAAAGGATTAAGGGGCAAAGATGAAGTTATGCTTTAAATAATGTAAATTCCCTTTCTTCATTAATTTTTTTTTTTTAAAAAAAAAGGCCGCATCCAGCAATTGGTTTCTGGTCTTTAAAAAGTGGAATAAGCTCTTGTATGTGCTTATTAATCACCTAATTAATTTTTTGTTGTTCGTGAGCTTATTTCGCTTGTTAATCACCTAAATTTCTTTTATTCGCAAGTATATTTCACCTGTTAATCACCTAATTTTTGTTATTCGTACGCTTATGCCACTGGTTAATCATATAATTACTAACATATCTCAACTTTAGCTGTTACTTTGTAGTCTACTTGAGTAATTTTAGCATGATTTCTAGGCCTATATTGCACTAATTTTGGCGAATGATTGCTTAGGTCTATTTGTTTGAATAGGGTAAAATTGTCATATTTATGTTTTTACTCTAAATTACTTGTATTATGGGAGATACTACCTCCGGTCCTAATTATAAGAGCTAGTTGACTAATTTGAGGAGATTAAGAAAAGAAGTTAAGTTAGTTATTTATAATAAATAAATATTATCTTTCCTAAAATATCATTGTTAATCAAGTGTATTGGTTAGAACTACTTTTATTAAAAAGACTACTTTGAAAAAAAAATACATAAATATGAGAGTCAAAGTGGATTGAAATCTTATATTTAAGATCAAAATAAAAATAAAATAAAATTTTACATTAAGGATAAGAGGTAGTATTTGGCATTACGGTGTGTTGAATTTTATTGCAAATTATTTGCGAAATTAGAGCGAATTCAGGAAATGACAAATAAGAACTCAAAGCGTTGTTACCAAAGCACCAAAGGAATCGCAAACAAGCGTCAAGAATTGGATCACAGAGCACTACGCGCGACACAACCCAACGCAACATTTTAGGATTCCGAAGACCGTTTTCAACCAGATGATCCACCTTTCTTCCAAGTCCAATTGACTCTCCACGCTTCCATCTCTTCAATTCTTCCATTCTTCTTCCATTTCCCACCTAAAAACCGTCCTCTGATCTTCCTCCCTTCTCCATGGCCCCGTAGTTACGGCAAGGTCTTGAGGATGTGCTCTTCTAATCTCCAAGAGTGACTAGGGTTCTTGCTTCCTGGGGATGGCGCATTATGGCTTGAGTTTTAAAGCTGAATGGGGAGTTATTCTAGCTTGATTTATGTTTTCCTTATGTATTTTGATTCCTAATTTTAAGATTGTCATCATATATGGCGATATTGAGTTTCCATTTTGTCAGCATGCCCGTGTTTAATGATTTGATTGTTTTATGCGTTATTATTGGACTGATGTCTTGTTAAGCATTCGAAAGGAACTATGTTAATTGATCTAGATTGCATCCTTTTAACTCCCATAACACTTAATTGAACTAGGATAGCTTAAATCCCATTCTCGAAAGGTTTCATTCATTGCATTCCCTAAACCCAATTAATTTTCATATATTTCCCTTTTTATAAACAAAATACCAAAAAGAAGTAGCATTAGGATTTTCAAACATGCATGTTTTTCTATTGTCAAACCAAACCCCATTTCATTTATGTTTTTAGCACTCGGTAAATTTAGAACCTAAAAAAAGCTTCTCAAGGGAACGGCTCAAATTATGAACTATATTACTTCTCCGATCATTAAGATAAGACACATTTAACTTATATAATTAAATTAAAAAAATTAGGTAAGTTAGTTAATTATAAAAAAATATTATCTTCCTTAATATCTTCCCTTCCTCTTCTACTTGATTATGATTAAATAAGTATCAAAAGGAATAATTTAGAAAAAAATTAATAAATATGAGAAATAAGTTTTACATTTAAAATCAAAATTAATTCAACAATTTGAATAAAAAAAATTAACTTAATAATTAGGTCCTATATTAAAAATCAGATAAATACATTAATTTGGTTTTTTTTTTATGGCCATAAGGCAACTAAAAGGGTTTTATCAATTCCCTTACTACTTATTATGTAAATTAGGAACCTAAGTTTATTACTTGTTTTTCCTCACCGCATGACTAAAAGGATTGTATGGCTCAGAGGCCATCATTATTTTGTTGTCCGAATCTGCGGCGACCAAAGCTTAGGTTATTTGTCCTCAAAAAATAATTTCATTTTGTTTCCCTTAGTCCTTTTATTGAAAAGTTTCATAATTTTTTGAAGGTGATTTGAAGTTAAATTTCAGAATTCATTATTTGAAGTTAAAAATGAAGAAAGGGCATTTTGATTATTTGTCCTTAAAACATAATTTCATGTAGCTCCTCACATGTATTCATGCCATATCTTGAATGCCCATCCTCTTGAGTCTCGAACCTCTCCAATTCCAATTTATCAGTCAGTACCTTAATCTTGGCCTTTAGTTTTGTTTTCTTTTCAATCATAATCTCCTCCACGCCATCATAATCAATTGTGTTTTTTCACACCAATTGTAATTATAAACGGTGTAAAGAGTGACCAACGGATTCTACATCGAGTGTTCCAAAACTAGTGTAAAAAGCCTCTTTTTTTTTTTTTTTAACTGTTGTATTCTCCGATACAATTACCCCTAATTATAATGACTTTTGGATTATAATTCTCCACTTTCACAATTATCATTAAATTTAATATTTTAAGCCCTTTTACTTGGGGCTGCACTAAAAAAAATGACTTTTAGTGA